GCTCTACTAGTCCTTTCTATAACTTTTCTTTAAATTTTCTTAAGAAATTAACTTATGAAACTCAAATCTTAAGGATTCCTAACTAGTTAACTTTGATCTCGATTCAAAATAACTCTCCAATTACAAAACTATTAAGATCCTTACATCATTAGAATTTTCACAATAATAATTAAATTAATACAATCGACATACATAAAATTTGTAGTGTTACATTCGATATTATTTTTTTCGTTGTTGTAAAAGTTTAATAATATTTAAATAAAAACATAATCGAATCTAAATCAATAACAAGACAATCAGACCACACATATAATAACCTAAATCAAATAAAATATCTGGAGTTAATTTTGCCTAAATCATTGTTAATTGTTTTCAATTATAATTTTTTATCTGTAAAAATTAAAATGAAGATACTATGGTTTGAACTTATAACGTTGTACATACTACCAAAATTCTTACTAATATATTATTGATACATTTATTTCATTCGATAATTTATGTTCAACATTAAATTTTAATGAATAAAAAAAAAATTAATGTATAGATCAAATATACAAAATTTATAAAAATTAAAAAATTATTTGATACTTTGTTTCATTAATTCAAGTTAATGGATAATCATAAAAATATTTTATATATTAATTTGAATTTATATAATGAAGTATTATATAATTGTTAATTTTTTTTAAAAAGTATAGACTTAACTTATAAATTAAGAATTTTTAATTCGACAGTTGAATGATTAAAATTTAATGTAGAACATAAGTTATTGAGTGAAATAAATCTATCAAGACTTACTTTTGGAGTAAGTGGATTATTCTTTCCACTTTTTCTATCTCTGTATGTGTTATATATATATATTAATTAAACGATCCATAATTTCATTAAAAAAATTTAAATTAGTGGTCAACTCTATCTTTTATCGAAGTTGTACCTTAACTTAAACTTTTTTGTAAAAAAAAATTAAAATATTTTTAGTTTTTATAATTTTATTTAATGTAACGATCCGCCATGGCCATCACACTGCGGAACAACACTACACACTACTGGAATATATACTAAAATAGTATAATAAAATAATTATAACACAAGTTGCTAATCAAGCAACCAACAACAACCAGCTATATACAACAAAATATGCTACTATAAGGTAGCCTACAAAAAAAATCCAACTCCAGGCACCTCCTGTGGCCTTTAGCAGCTATCTCCCAGCCTATCCCTGCCCTGCTCTCATACATCGTATGATCATCGCAGTCCAAACCACATGAAAACATGCAAGGGTAAGCTAGAGACAATAAACAACTTATAATAATTAAATATGCAACACACCAACAATATAATCATCTTCACATCCAACATAGAAGACAACAAACATATACTATACATCTTAGTGTCATTTCAACTTGATTCAACATATCACCACTGTATCAACACTTCATCGCAACTACTGTACAAATCATTAGAATAGTTACCATATTCATCATAACAACAACCAACACATGTATTGCACACCTCTCAACAACACATGTTTAAAAGTAACTTACAACATAACAGCACTATCATCATCCTCAACATTGTCAACATACAACACATAATAACACACAACTCAATCACAGCTTCACAACACAACAACACATATACAACTCATATCAACATCAATTAAAAACATCAACAACTTATGTGTCGTCATGCATTTCAACTTGGAGATCTCCTACAACATGGGTGAGCAGTTAAAGTGGCTAGGTCCTACCGAACCGACAGTAAAGAACCTTTTTGGGCTTGCTAGGTAAACAACAAATTTAGATGCCAATCCACAACACGATAACGATTTCTTAGACTTTGCCACTTAAACAAGGAAGTATAGTACTATGTCAGGATAGAACAACTGGGTTTAGGCCTACCACGATATTAGCTAGCTTAACTAAGCCATCTATGGGATTAGCCTGCCGACTATCCTCCAAATACTACAACCCTCCGATACTTGGTTAGGAACTAAGTTCCCGACTTCGTACTTTACTCAAATTGGCCGCTTGTAATTCGTATAGCTCGACCTGACCCCTATACCGTGGTCGCTTTGTACACGTGTGCCTCGACCTTGCCCACACACGGGACCAACTAAGTCCTAGAGGAGAACAACACAATGTCCACTCCAAGGGACAACTTCCCAAAGAGGGTTTTCAACAAATTGGGTTCTCTGAGCACCATAGCTTTCTCAATCCACACAATGGGATGAACAACTTCGAAAACATCTCCTCTAATCCTAGTGATCAAATTTGGTCGCTTGTAATCGGTATAGTTCGACCTGACCCCTATACCGTGGTCACTTTGTACACGTGTGCCTCGACCTTGCCCACACACGGGACCAACTAAGTCCTAGAGGAGAACAACACAACGTCCACTCCAAGGGACAACTTCCCAAGGAGGGTTTTTAACAAATTGGGCTCTCTGAGCACCACAACTTTCTCAATCCACACAATGGGATGAACAACTTTGAAAATATCTCCCCTAGTCCTAGTGATCAACAACTCATCATCACAACTTAATCAACTTACAACTCAACAACATAGCTCAGCTCAACAACTTAAACAACATGATCAACTCAACAGCACAGCTCAACTCAACTCAACAACTTAAATGACATGATCAACTCATTAGCACAACACAACTCAACTTAACAACTTAAACAACATGATTAACTCAATAGCGCAGTATAGCACAGCTCAACTCAACAACTTAAACAACATGTTCAACTCAACAACACAACACATCTCAGCTTAACAACTTAAACAACATGATTAACTCAACAACACAACACAACTCAACTCATAATTTACAACTCAATCATCATAAGATAATATCTTTTCAACACATGACACAACATACAACTTTCCTCTAACAACTTAATAACACAGTCTACTAATAACATCTATATAAATCTCAACACATCTACACACTTCACAACTTTCAACTATATCATCTCATCATATTTCACAACATATAAATGGTCCACACATAACATATAGCAACCTTAACAACATATCACATATTCAACACATTTCTATTTAGCACAACAACTCATCTAGCACCTATACACAACTACACAGCTCCACAACTCAACTACAACATGCATCTTATTTACATCTCATCTTCATCACAAAAGCATAACCAACAACATCATTAATCAATATTTAATCATATATTATCAACACATAGAATTTTCATCACATAACACAATTCATACTACATGTTTACAACCCATCTTTCATGCCAACTTACCCACCCAAACAACACCAATCAACCTAAGCACCTAAAACAACTTTCAATTTAACCAAACCACTTCTTGTGAAATGACAACCTTCACATAAAACAGCTTATTCGGAGTTATACTATTTCTATCATGATCATTCTCATCGCGTGTGAAAGATAAGAAGATTTCCTACAACTCTCATGAAGACACCAAGTCCTATTTCCTTCATCTACCTTGTTAAAAATTCTAAAAACCGCAACAGCTATAACCAATGTTGACAGCTTGACCTCTGTTCACTAAAACAGTCATATCTGGAGTTCTAGAACTCCTTTTTGGGTGATTCCGGTGCCATTGGAAAGCTAACATCCAAGGCTACAACTTTCATGAAGACCCTAAGACCAAATTCGGTCATCTAGACCCAGCGCTGCAGCGCTCAATCCAGTGCTTTAGCTCAAACTCTTTGCCAATCCATTTCCTTTCCACGGCCATGGATGTGAATCCACGGCCATGGCTACAAGTTTCTACCATTCTAATTTTTTTCACAGCTATGGCTGCAAAAACCACAGCCATGGTTGCAAGTCTCTGCCCTCACGTTTTTCCCCTCCCACGGCTATGGCTGTGAATCCACAGCTTTCAGCTGTAGCTGTGGGTTTCTACAAGCTCATTTTTCCTCCACGACTATAGCTGTGAATCCACAGTTATAGCTGTGGGTTTATGAACTTCCAAAACTCCATGGATTTCACCTTCGTTTTCACTCAAATCCTCCATGAACCTGCAATCCAAGGAGACCCAAACCATGCTACAACTTAAATGCACCACTACCAACCACATGCAACCCAAAAACATCAAGAATCACAACATGCATGCACCAAGATTCAAGAGATCATCAAGAACAACCACAAGGTTTCAGCTTTACCACATGCAACCAAAATGTATGACAAATTCGAGTTCTAGCTTCCCTTACCTCAAATCGAAAAGAGAATCTGAGCTTTGAGTTTACAGGGAGGAAGAAGAAGAGGAAGAATGGAGACAAGGCTGTGGCTTTGAGCTTCCTTGCTCTTCAATCTTCAGCAACATTCAAGAAAATCAATGGAAGAGATTTTCAAAAGAAAGAGTGAAGGAGGAAAAAAGAATAGAAAGGAAGGAAAATGAGTAGGAGAGGATTCATGGATCTCACATTTAAAATAGTTATTTATTTATTTTTATCTTTTTAATCTTCTTTAGTGCCAATAATTTAAGATAATTTTTTTAGTCCTTATACTTTAAGTTTTGTAATCATTTTGTTCTCTATTGTAATTTCTTTATCGTTCACATTCTGTTTATGTTAATGTGACAAAGCTATTCAATTTTGTCAAAGTAAAAAATATGTTGTAAGTGAGAATCCAAAAGAAGTATGATGGGTTGAGATAGTAAAGTAAATTCGACATTAAACACATAAAGTTGAATTAATATATTTTTTTTGTCACATAAACATAAAAGATATAGTGTTATAAAAAAATTAACAACAAATACTAAAATAATTAAAATATGTAAATATATGAATTTAAAACTCTAAACTGTAAAGATTAAAGAGAATTGAAAAAGTGAAATTAAAAAAAATAAAAAGATATTGAGAATAATAATAATAATAATTATTATTATTATTTTAAATGGCATCGTCTGGTGTGAGTGTGGACATAATATAGATCCATAAATACCAATAAGACTAACTTAGTTTATTTTTTGGGTTAAAGGTAGCTGCTCGGTGCCTAACCTATAATTACAAATTAGAAAGGGGTGACCGGTGGCAGTTTCGATAGAGTGGGTCGTATAAAAGGGGGAACATAGAAGAAAACAGAACGTTATCAAAAACAAAAACCACTTTGGATGGAACAAGGGAAGCAGGGAATCATGGTGGCGACTCAGAACCCCATAGAGCAACTCCAAGCGCGCTTCAAGGAGTTGGAGGCTGGATTCAAGCTCTGGCTCTCCAAGCAGTCCCTCCCCGTCGAGGCCGCCGTCGTCACCAGTACCAGCGCCGCCCAGGGCGCCGCCATCGGAGCCTTCATGGGCACCCTCACCGCCGACGCCTCCTCCACCTTCCCCACCCCTCCGCCTAACGCCTCCCTCAACCCTCAGGCCATGGCCTCTCTTAAACAAGCTCAGGTATTATTCCTTTCCACTCTTCCAATTAATTGAAATATGTCACGCTAAATCTTCTTAGGGTTTTCTCTTCACTGCTTCCATTTTATTCGATTATTATCATATAGGCTCTTGCTGGAGGTCCTTTCGTTCAGGCTCGGAACTTTGCTGTCATGACGGGAGTGAATGCTGGTATTTCATGTGTCTTGAAAAGGATAAGGGGCAAGGAAGATGTCCAGTCTAGGTGAGCTTTATGCTTCAAATAAATTTTAATTATGAATTTTTTCCTGCTTTTCCAGATATTTCTAGATCCACTTTTGCAAACTTTTCCCCCTAAAATTCAAGCTGCTACAATTGTTCGTGTAATATATTTGATGTGCTTTTCTATAGTCTAAATGATTATTGGGTATGAAGGTCTATGATTCATGACTTATTGATGATGTACTGTTGTAAATGGAACGTAATTTGGAATCGTTTTGACTTTTGTGCCATCTTGCTATAATGATATTACTTTGATCACACCCTTATTGTTCAGAATTTTTGTTGAAATAAAAGAAAATCGACAATAGCAGCCTCAGCTATGCATGGAGGCTTGTAGCACTTTCTTTCTTTGGGTTAGTGTCAATCAGGGTATGTTTGGATAAACTTCTTTAGAATCACTTATAAGAAGGAAAAATGAAATAAACTTTTCCATAAGCTAAAATTAGCATATTCATAAGCTAATATGTAGAAGCTTTTTTTATATAGTTTCTCTAAAAAATTACAAGTTAATTTATGCATAAGATAGTTTTAACTTATGGAGAAATTTGTTTCATTTTTCCTTCCCATTTTTTCTCTTATAAATGCTTTTAAAGAAGTTTATCTAAACAGACTCTAAACTCAACTCAAATAAGTTTAATGTGGATATTCTCTTTCTTTTCCTACAATGTTTTAAGGTGTATTTGTTGGTGAACTCTTGAATTCATGATGGTTTTAGTGTAATCACTAGTGATGCAAGGATATAACAACAACAAATTTCTATAATGTCTTGATTTTCCTCTCCATCTTTTCTCAAGATTAAAAACTATGCAATCTAATCTCCTTATTTGTGCTCTCGACTGTCTTCTTTGTACATGCCTAAATCGCCCTAATTGTTTTTTATTGTCATTTTTCCTCATACGATTATTTTGTATCATGTCCTTTGTTGTGGGGTCAAACATTCTTCTTAACATTCTTGTTTTTTGCTATTTACACTTTTTACTCTTGTTCCTTTAAAGTAAATGAAATGGATCATATAATGTTTATGGATCATATGACTGAATATTGTTACACCCAACGAAAACTTTTGTTCATTTCTTAATTCCTATTATGTAACGGTCTGCTCAATGTTTTTGGTTTGATATTCCCTTTATACAACCAATGTGCTTTCTTATAGCAATTACTTACTTTTGAGAATCCACTAAATTATCTATTTCAGCATGGCGGCAGCTTTTGGTTCTGGGGCCATGTTTTCATTGGTAAGTGGCATGGGTGGACCAAATCAAGCAGCAAATGCAGTCACTTCTGGACTTTTTTTTGCACTTGTTCAAGGTGGACTTTTCCAGGTAGGCATGAAGGGAAGCTAATGCTTCTTTCACAGTTTTTGTAGCCCCTTTTTATTTCATTCCTCCTGATCAGTTAGGACTCAGAATAGTGATTGCTCCGCTTTACATTTTGGTAATACAGTGAGTGTCTGACTGTTTATTGGTGTCATCTATAAAAATACATGAATCTTGGGGTAATCCTTGTTGGGCTTCTAATATAAACCAGGGTTTAAAATTTTTGGACGCAACTTATTGGTCTTTGTGTCCAAGTGAGGTGTCCTTGCCTGGATCCCGGGATGTTTTGTGTGCAATGCAGGTTTATTATTAGCATGTCTTCAACTGTTCATTAATTATGCAGATAGGACAGAAGTTTTCTCAGCCACCTACTGAAGATATTCACTATGCTAAAACTAGAAACATGTTGCACAATCTTGGTCTTCAGAGTTACGAAAAGAATTTTAAGAAAGGCTTGTTAACGGACAACACTTTGCCTTTACTCAATGACAGGTAGGAAGTTCAATTTTTTTTTTTGTCAGGTTTTTTCTTTTCTTCTTCATATATAACACCATGTATTGAAGTATGAGTCCTTTATTTATCTACGATGTCTTTCAGTGCTCTGAGAGATGTGAGGATTCCTCCTGGACCAAGGCTTTTGATTCTCGACCACATTCAGAGGTACGAGTTGTGCTCTGTGTTGTCATATATTGCTATATCCCTATTTTTTCATACTCTCAAATCCTGAAGTCTGGTTTCAGGGACCCGGATTTGAAAGAGAAGCGAGGAAGCCGGAATTGACTGATATGAATAGTTTGGTGCCTTTGAATGAACTTTGAAAGCTATTGAAAATGGATAGTAGGAAGTTTGTGTTGCCAAGGAATTTTGTCTTTTTTGATTATTAGATTTCTGTTTCATTGTTGTTGCTATATTTTATAAAATTTGGTTATCTAGTCAGTTATTTTAGCTGCCATGAAACGTAAATGGCTTGAAAGTAAATTATGGCGCATGAATATGTTAACTTCAAAATAAGAAAAGCTATTCCTTCTTTGTGGAGGAATTGTTTCAATAGTTCAGCCAATGATCCACCCATCCTTGGGTTCCACCAGGGACGGATCCACTTATATGATAGTGGGGGGCAGTTGCTCCCACTAAAATTTTACACTTTTATATATATATATATATATATATATATATATATAATTTAT